TGGTATTCCTCGGCTACTTTTAGTGACTCCTTTGATTATGTTGGACTATTGTAGAAAAGATTATTGAGAACTTTTTGTGTACAATCAATAATCAACAATTGGAAAACATGTTCGTACTGGATGGAAGAGGCAACAAAATTCCAAGGTAAGACCTGAAGCTTCCTTGAACTGAAAGTTGATTATGCAAGCAGTCGAAGTTAGGATCTAGTGAGTGATTTAGGACCTGAAGCTTCCTTGAACTGAATGTACGTGCTCGTACCAGTTCGTGCCCGTGTAGCATTGCTGGCCCACATCGCCGTCGTTCGTTCCTTGGGACGAGAAGACCAGGTCAAATTAAGAGTCGAGCCGTCAAAGACGACGAACATTCAAATAGGTGAACGAAAAGAAAGAAGTGATGAAAGTCAAGGAACGATCGGAATCAAGGTCCGGGTTTGATTGATCCCATTATCCGAACAAACATGGAAACGGGTGATTTGGTTTCCACGTTTGTCCCTGCCTACATGCGAATATGGGCCATGCCTTTTTCTTATTTCCTTCTATGTACACAGTATATAAGGCTCGGTTTCAAAAAAAAGATGGCACGGATCATGGTAATTATTACTAATTGATATTTTTTCCTTCTATGTACGTGACATACAAGGCCGAGTTAAAAAAATATGATGGCGTAGATCATGGTAATTCTTGCTAATTGATATGATTAAAATAGGCCTAGTTTGAAGCGAGATCGTGGTAATTATTGCGTAACAATGATGGCGTAGACCATGGTAATTATTGCTAATTGATTATGGTAAATGATGTGATACAACATTGAGACAATCCGGTCCATTGAGAGATGCCAGATGTATTGCTGAGATGTAATATTTCTATCACAACTCGATTGTTTAATAATAGTGGAGATAAACACACACATACACATCCTATCTTTATGAGCACTTTCGACACCGAACGACACACCATCTTGAGATTAACAAAGTCAACACAAACGCATTCGTACTTGATGTGAATGTTTCCTCTCACTGAACGTACATCCCCGAAATGTAATCTAACACTTGAACTCTGATGAGTGAAGATACCATTGTCCTCCTAATCATCCAGCCACATATTGGTCTGCTATACTTTAAGATAAACTAATGTGTTGATTATAGGCTCTTAAAATTTTGCTCGTGTAGAGCTTTTCCCTCTTGAATGCCCAATGGTTACTAAAAACTCTTACAAAAGCAGCACGCCGTAACGACTCAATGAGACTAAAAATCCATCTTTTGGTATCCGGCTTGTGATTGCCCGTCAGTACATCAACCAAATCATAATCCTTGAGTGCTCAGAGGCAACACGCCACATTGTAGTCTAGCAATGAATGTATCCACGAATCATTGCTCCTGCATAACCCTCAGTCAATGACAATAGCCATTTTCCGAGGATGAAGTAAGTCAACCATCGGTAGAGACTGCTGAGCGAGTCTCGATAGGAAAACCTTGAGCTTTGATGGAACACAGTCCTTCCACATCATCATCCAATACCTTTGGTCCTTCTTAGAGTTCGAAAATCCTCCTCGTTCCTCGAGCCACACTTATCGTCGAGCTTGGTTGCTACCAATATACATTAGACGTCTCCACGAATCATTGCTCCTGCATAACCCTCAGTCAGTGACAATAGACATTTTCCGATGATGAAGTAAGTCGACCATCGGTAGAGACTGCTGAGCAAGTCTCGATAGGAAAACCTTGAGCTTTGATGGAACACACTCCTTCCACGTCATCATCCAATACCTTTCCTTCTTAGAGAGGAGAGATTTGGAATTAAAAGGTCCGAACATATTTTCAGAAATATACTTCAAGATGAGTTTTTTTAACACACTGCAAACAGACGTAGACACTCGTACACATATCTCTATAAACACACGCATACACATCCTATCTTTATGAGCATTTTTTCGAGACCGAACGACACACCATCTTGAGATTAACAAAGTCAACACAAACGCATTCGTACTTGATGTGAATGTTTCCTCTCACTGAACGTACACTCGCGAAATGTAATATAACACTTGAACTCTAATGAGCTGAAGATACCATTGTCCTCCTAATCATCCAGCCACATATTGGTCCGCTATACTTTAAGATAAACTAATGTGTTGATTATAGGCTCTTAAAATTTTGCTCGTGTAGAGCTTTTCCCTCTTGAATGACCAATGGTTACTAAAAACTCTTACAAAAGCAGCACGCCATAACGACTCAATGAGACTAAAAATCCATCTTTTGGTATCCGGCTTGTGATTGCCCGTCAGTACATCAACCAAATCATAATCCTTGAGTGCTCAGAGGCAACACGCCACATTGTAGTCTAGCAATGAATGTATCCACGAATCATTGCTCCTGCATAACCCTCAGTCAATGACAATAGCCATTTTCCGATGATGAAGTAAGTCAACCATCGGTAGAGACTGTTGAGCGAGTCTCGATAGGAAAACCTTGAGCTTTGATGGAACACAGTCCTTCCACGTCATCATCCAATACCTTTGGTCCTTCTTAGAGTTCGAAAATCCTCCTCGTTCCTCAAGCCACACTTATCGTCGAGCTTGGTTGCTACCAATATACATTAGACGTCTCCATGAATCATTGCTCCTGCATAACCCTCAGTCAGTGACAATAGACATTTTCCGATGATGAAGTAAGTCGACCATCGGTAGAGACTGCTGAGCAAGTCTCGATAGGAAAACCTTGAGCTTTGATGGAACACACTCCTTCCACGTCATCATCCAATACCTTTCCTTCTTAGAGAGGAGAGATTTGGAATTAAAAGGTCCGAACATATTTTCAGAAATATACTTCAAGATGAGTTTTTTTAACACACTGCAAACAAACGTAGACACTCGTACACATATCTCTATAAACACACGCATACACATCCTATCTTTATGAGCACTTTCGAGACCGAGCGACACACCATCTTGAGATTAACAAAGTCAACACAAACGCATTCGTACTTGATGTGAATGTTTCCTCTCACTGAACGTACACCCGCGAAATGTAATCTAACACTTGAACTCTAATGAGCTGAAGATACCATTTTCCTCCTAATCATCCAGCCACATATTGGTCCGCTATACTTTAAGATAAACTAATGTGTTGATTATAGGCTCTTAAAATTTTGCTCGTGTAGAGCTTTTCCCTCTTGAATGCCCGATGGTTACTAAAAACTCTTACAAAAGCAGCACGCCGTAACGACTCAATGAGACTAAAAATCCATCTTCTGGTATCCGGCTTGTGATTGCCCGTCAGTACATCAACCAAATCATAATCCTTGAGTGCTCAGAGGCAACACGCTACATTGTAGTCTAGCAATGAATGTCTCCACGAATCATTGCTCCTGCATAACCCTTAGTCAATGACAATAGACATTTTCCGATGATGAAGTAAGCCGACCATCGGTAGAGACTGCTGAGCGAGTCTCGATAGGAAAACCTTGAGCTTTGATGGAACACAGTCCTTCCATGTCATCATCCAATACCTTTGGTGCTTCTTAGAGTTTGGAAATCCTCCTCGTTCCTCGAGCCACACTTATCATCGAGCTTGGTTGCTACCAATATACATTAGACCAAGCGCATCTTAAATACTCATTTTTTTCTTTCAAATCGTTGACCGATATTTATCTAGTTGCCTGGTGCATAACGAAATCCCAATTATAGCTTTAGGATATGTAGCCATAAAAAGTTTTGTTCTATTTTTGTTCGGTCCCGGTTTCATTTTGCACAATAAGTTCACTTACCAACTCGGGAGGGTCTGCAGTCAAACTTGCTATCGGCCTCATATCATAATCACGCGGGATCAAATTATATCTTCATATTTCTTGGTGTTGTGGCCATCACCAATCTATAATCTATAATACCTAAATAGTTGATCCTCACTATTTCTAATTCTATCAACATACAAGCCCTCCACCTCATCAAGTGTGCGACATCAGCATCCACTAACAATATTTTTCAGCCTATGCAAACCTTATTTCATTATCACTAAATTCTCTCAACATGCAAGCATCCCACTTCACCGTACAATATTTTTATTTCAGCCCATGCAAACCATACCAATATGCTTATTTTCGTCACTGAACATATGTAGTATATTAGATAATTATTTAATTTATGTACTTCCTAAAGGTTGTGAAATGCCCTGATTTACACATAATGCAAGTACGGAATATTTATATGTTAAAATTAGTAGCTTTTGATTTAGATCTTTTATTGCATACTAGTCAATGCGTACATGCAATGCACGTTAATTTGGAAGTATATTAAGTGCATGCAGATATTAAATATGATACTATTTACGTGTCATTATGTGATTAACACTATATTTGGCATGAAATTAACTGCACGCTAAACGCGTTGAGCGCTTGATATTGAAGCAGTCTACGTCGTTAGATTGACATGACTTAATGGCCGAGATTAATTGGATATATCCCTTTGAGTCTTTTTATATTGGTACAGATATAAATATAAGTCATTTGTAATTAATTTTTATATTCCCACAGCAACGCGCGGGTAAATTACCTAGTTCTCCTAATTAAATCCTGTGTAAGAGTGTCTCTTCCTTCTAACACTGAACGCCAAATGCATCTCGCTAGTTTTTTTTCTTTCTATTTTTAGGGGTAAATTCTTCTCGCTGTTTTTTTAGTGGAAAAAAATGCTTCGCTAGTAAGGCAGAATAGTTGAGCAGGCCCGTTATTTTTTTCAGCCGAAGCGCCCATCCATTCTGTAAGCAGCTGAGCAAGCCCATTCGGCCCATTCCAGCATCGCAACCCTAGCCAAGCACGAGCCATAGGACACTGGCAGCTATAAATACCCAACCCCTGAGCAACGAAACCCTAGGTTAAAGCGACGCCGCCGCCGCAAGCCGTCCGCCTCGCTCTTCTCCCGAGCCTGGTCCTCATCCTCTCGCCTCTCCTCCCCAACACAGATTTAACAATCTAGAGTTAGCGCCTCCGTCCGTCTCGTAGCTGCTCAGATGGCGATCAAGAGGACCAAGGCCGAGAAGAAGATCGCGTACGACCAGAAGCTCTGCCAGCTGCTCGAGGAGTACACCAAGGTGCTCATCGCCGTCGCCGACAATGTCGGCTCCAAGCAGCTCCAGGAGATCCGCAAGGGTCTCCGCGGTGACTCCATCGTGCTCATGGGCAAGAACACCCTCATCCGCCGCTGCATCAAGGTGCACTCGGAGAAGACCGGCAACAAGGACTTCCTTGAGCTCAGCAACCTCCTCGTCGTAAGCCGCCGTTCTCGTCCCCCCTTTGATTCTTTTGATTCCGCCGCGAATTTCGTGCTGAAATATATCCTCCGGTCTGTAGGGTAACGTTGGCCTCATCTTCACCAAGGGTGACCTCAAGGAGGTTCGCGAGGAGGTCGCCAAGTACAAGGTAAAATTCAGACCGGATCTGCCATGTCCCCTATTTATTGAATTATTATGTGATGGATTGCTGGTTTATAGTGCGGCTAATGGAGAGATATATCCTACGTCCGTGATAAGTAACATGTATCGCTAGAAATGTAGCCCCCCTGATGTGGTCTGTTTGTTATTCCTGTATTTGATGACACCTTTGCCTAGGTTTAGAATATTTGTAAATTAGCTAGTCAAGTTCTATTATTTTGATGAATCAGTATGTCGCACAAATGGTAGTTAAGTTTGACAAATGTTAATGAAGCGGAACCATTGAATTATTATCGACTCAGAATGCTGCCATTCGTTTATGTGTGCAATTTAGTTGTTTCCTAGCCACAAGTATGGATGTCAAAGTTCCTTTTTTTCTGTCAAACTGGCTAGTTTAGATAACAAATGTTATAAAATTGTGTAGTTGACACGTTCTATTCTTAGTATAAGCTATCTTTTTTTAATGCCATCTCTTAATTTTTATGTGATTTCTTTGTACTTAAGTTTAGAACATCTGAGGTTAATTCTTGTCTTGTGTTTTGACACACAGGTTGGTGCTCCTGCTCGTGTTGGGCTAGTTGCACCTGTTGATGTGGTGGTTCCCCCTGGCAACACTGGTCTGGATCCCTCCCAGACGTCCTTCTTCCAGGTTAGCATTTGCTGGTAACACTTTTCAGTTGATGCTTTTGTTTCAATCACATGTTATTACAAGTTCTAATTGTGTTGTCTTGTTTAGGTGCTTAACATTCCCACCAAGATTAACAAGGGTACTGTGGAAATTACTATCCCAGTGGAGCTAATCAAGAAAGGTGACAAGGTGGGCTCCTCTGAGTCTGCCCTGCTTGCCAAGCTTGGTATCCGCCCCTTCTCATATGGACTGGTCATCTGCAATGTCTATGACAGTGGGTCAGTCTTCAGCCCTGAGGTTCTTGACCTCACCGAGGAAGACCTGATGGACAAGTTTGCATCTGGTGTTTCCATGGTTGCCTCACTGTCCCTGGCGATCTCATACCCCACCATGGCTGCTGCGCCTCACATGTTCCTCAACGCATACAAGAATGTTCTTGCGGTTGCTTTGGAGACAGACTACTCATATGACCATGCTGATAAGATCAAGGAGTACCTCAAGGTAATTCTTGTTCTACAATGTTTTGTTCCCACTATGAAATCTTAATTTGAAACATGCATTAGAAGTTGTCTTGAACAATGGCATGAACTTTCTGTTTTATTTAGTTTAGAGTCATGTGTTGAGCTACTTATCAGGATGTCATCTGTTCTTTTCTAACCAATTCTGGAGCTTAAAAAGTGATATTTTTGGATTGTGTTAGCCTCTAATTGTCCCCTTAGTGTAATCTTTCAGTGTGTGAGATTTGTTTTTAGTAGTCATCATGGTATAATACATGACATGCCATCTCTGATCTGGCAGATGTTTCATCATATTCATGAGCAACTTCATCATTGTTAGCTAAGCTAGTCATGTTCACATGGTTCTTCCTACCACAGCTTAATTCTGAATCATGCATTTCCATGTCAGTTTTTGACACATTAGGTGTTGTTTTGCTGTGCAGGACCCCAGCAAGTTTGCCGTTGCTGCCCCTGCTGCTGCTGCCTCTGGTGGTGCTGCCGCCTCTGCCCCCAAGGAGGAGGAGAAGAAGGATGAGCCCGAGGAGGAATCAGATGGCGAGATGGGATTCAGCCTGTTCGACGACTAAGCTGTGTGCCTATCTTCATAAAGCCGTGTCCCGTTGCCAGTTTTGTTTAGTGTTGAACACTAAAGTTTTTCAGTCCTATCATTACCTTGAACAAGAATTAATTATGCTGTTTGTTAGTGTGTATTTGAATATGGTAACGTTATGTCATGCACTTAGTTACTTATATGCATCTCTCTGCTTGTGCTTCTCTGCTGTGTTTCACTAAGTTAAATTTTAAGTAGGCTTGTTTATCGATGTTTGGGATGGAGCACTGATTTGGCCGTTGGATGGAATGCGCTTATTTTGCCGATGACATCAGATCCTAGCGAGCTCGGCGGCCAGCCACCGGATCAGATTGCACTGGGCCGTGTGGGCGTAGGCATGTATGGGATGGACCTGGGTGCTGCTGCTCGAGCCGGTCGCGGCTTGTGCTTGCGCGCGTTGACGGTTGTGTGGGGTCAGTCCTGCACAGGCAGGTCGCTGGTAACCGCATACAACATTACATAGGGAGGAGTACATAATTAATTAAGGAAACTAATCAAATCTTAACACTCTCCTTAATTCTTCCTTGTACTTGCGATTGAACGTCCTTGGAATAGTCTCCTCCAAAAACCTTGTGGGGAAAATATGAGGAATAATGTAGGTAATAAGGTAAAACTCAAAAATATGAGGATATATTGGTAAAACTCATTCAAACCCTGTGGAAAAATAAGGAGAAAATGATCCAACATATAATGATTATTGTCTCTGTTAACTTGATATGAAGTATATTCATAGAATTTAGAGGGCAATAAATATGTCGTGTATACTTTCGTAAAAACCCCGGTGGGGAAAACAGAAAGTATGACATAATCTTATGTTAATATTACTTCATTAAAAACCTTTATGAGAATCTGTAAAGTAAACTCATCAAGGAAAAAAGAGTATAATATGATCTTTTGAACATGAACAATTCAGGAAGATACTTTGAACACATTTCTGGAACATAGAAGTCGGTAGAGACCTGATGAACAAATCAATCTCATGATTTGACTTACAAGATATGCAATATAGTGATATTGCTTATTACGTAACATGTTTGCATACGGGCAACACAAAAAACATTATCATTTAGATAATGGTTGGTGGATGTATTCATGAGGTCTGTTTCGAAGACTCTCCATGAGAGGGCTACCACACCTAGTAGGAACACTAAGCTTCTCTACGATTTGACATCGTGGTGATCTGATCGATGTATCCAATGATATCGGTGTTCACATTTCTGTGAAACTGAAAAATCAGGATAAGATCTTTGATGCCTTGGAGATATCAAAAGATATTCTTGAGTACCAACCAATTGTGTTTGATGAAACCAATGGCATTATGGAATATTGAGTCCCAATATCTTATTTCCACCACCTCTTGGTCTAAATAAATCTTTCTCCGCGTCTAGAGAATGAACTACCATGAGAGTTATGGATGAATGAGATTTGTCCACAATGAATTTCTCCAATATATTATGGATATAGACAACATAGTATACTATAATGTATGAATGAAGGTGCTCAATTTGTAGTAACGAGCGGTATTTTGGTTTACCCAAATACTTCATTTTAAATTCCGTCATTTAGATGATTACGTGTGTCGTTATTGCAGACACACAAACATGGGTAATCATCATTGTAAGAGTAATCCTTGTGTATAAGGAACTCACTAAGTCGGTTGTACCATATATACCGACAACAATAAGTCGTATGTCGACTTACTGATTTTTACACAATGTATGTTGTATTTTGCATTTTGATTCAGAAGTGAGATTCCATCGGGAATCAATCATATATGTCTGAATCTAGTGATCCACATGTATATGTAATCACTACATCTATCAACTGCACAAATAGATGATTTTGTACTGCCAATGATATAAGTTATCGGAATGAGATTCCACCTCTAGAGAATAGTTGGGTATCTGCGTGAACCCTTGTGCTACAATACTTGCTCTATGTTTCACCACCTCATTGTTCTCAATTCTGTTTCCAGAAGAAAACTGGTGTAGGTATTGCTTATGAATACCTTCCCATTATTGAGCAAGATCATTTCTACCTAGATTATACCCTTTGCTTGAGTTCAGTCCGAGTGTTGTTCACACTTTGCCATGGCCATGGTCTTTAGATCTGAATCATTTGAAAGGTTTTGCAATCTAGTTGAGAAATATATGTCGACAATTGTAGACTTTTGGTTATATGTTTCTCCAAAATCTATATATCAATATGGATTTGATGGAACTATCGTTACCTATGGTGACTGCTCGCGATTTCCGAATGCGGCTGAGTCGGGTATTCCGATGACCCGGTCATTGTGTGCACTATGACCTGGGTTGGTGGAAGTTTTCCATCCACTGGGTGTATACTACCCATTAGGTGTCTGCCAACGTGAAGTTGACTTGCATTTACTGATTCACAGGCCTTGATATCCTTGCTTGCGAGAAGCTGAATCCTTATGTACTTCTGCCATACATCTCCCCCTGTTGCTTTGAACGGGGAGTGGAGTGGATTTTGTTGATACCTCCACTCTTTCAGGCGTACTTTTGCAGGATTGTAGGATTGTGTGACACTTTTATAGTCAGTAAATGAATCTGGCAGGTTATTTGCAATATGTTGCAAATCTTCCGAACCATGCATGGTTCAGCTCTTTGAGTACGTGGATATGAGGCAGAAATGTGTTGAACATTCCACTAATTTCCTGGCATTCTTTATGGTACTTGAATTCTCCCCCTAATGCCTGGAAATATTCCTCATTGAATCAACATACTGGCCTTGAATAACTCCCCACGTGAGGGGCTTAAGGTATTGACGGTAATACAATTATTCCTCACATAGATCTCAACTATATGTTGATGGGCCAATGATGTATGTCGGGGTGGTGATATCGGTGTGTAACCGAATTACCGCAAATAGGAAATACTTGGTAGATTTCCACGTATCATAGACAGAGGGGAATAATATTATGCAGTTTGGTCATGAGCGTGTAAAACTACATGACTCCAACGTAAAGTTGGTAATTTGCAATTCGAGAGTGAAGATAATGCAATGAGCTTAACTGCTTTGGATAAAGGATTCTACCAAACCATTTTGAGTCTAGACATTAGGACAAATTGCTAAACTTCAATCCGAGGGCCATAGAGAAAGGCACTCAAGGAGAATTCTTCAATGCTATCCATACAATTTTCTTGAAATCGATGTCAGGATAATGAGCCAATGGTTTTGTATGAATAAAGCACACACTTAAGACCATCATGTAGATATGTTTTTTAGAACCATGGAATGTCTGAATAGTCTAGTCAATGGATGGAAAGAGCCACTTACCTCAACTTGATGCATTTAAGGAGTCTGAGTGGTTCAGCTTTAGACTTTAAGGTGTGCGAGCCTTCAAATTAGCTTCCTTCTGTCACTTGTAGTGCACATAAAATCCAAATGTTGTTAGAATTTAGCATCATAATAATCATAAATTATTGGAATTGCTGATAGTTTCGGTTTCAATCCAATGTCTCGATGACCAAGGCGAGTATGCCAAGTTTTTCATATAAAAGACATTCTGGAAAGCTATCTTGGATGCAACATGTAGTACGGGCTTTGTAGTATGTGTAGTGCAATCTAGATGATACATAGAGAATGTGCTTGCCATATTAATTGCATATGGTAAAGAGAAGTTATTTCTCTTTGTTGTCATCATAAGTTTCGCTATGGAAACTATTTTGACGGATACCTTCATAATTTAGTAGGGTACGAGTTAAACCTGGGAAGCAATAAAACATCCCGACGTTACTCGCGTACCCACAGGGATAGTAAATATGACTCGAGTTGAGCCAACAAATACCTCATCGCGTCCAGCGATTTTAAAATGTCTCCTTTCTCTCAATGAGTGGAAACATTGGACTTCCCTAGGTATAGAGTTTATGGTGCATATGTCCACAAGGAACATATCATTTTTCATCGGATTGACTCCCGTATAAATCTATATATAGACATGAAGATTCTCAATATGAAAATCACTGTCACATATATAGAATACATACAAATGTATTTGTACCAAAGTGCTGGTACAATATATTGTGATATACAATATATGATGACAACAATACTTATGTTGTTGTCATAACATCGTAAATGGACATTAATTATATTGGCCACTCAGGAGATTGAAAGACTATTCATAGTCTCCAAACATGTCGGTTGAGGCATATCAACCATCGCATTCTCCGTGCCCATAGGATCCCGTCACAGCTGGTGATGTCAGATTGAAGGTTGAAGTAAGATTCAAACCTTTGTCCCTGAGGTTCATTGTATCCCAGGAATTGTTGATACAGAATAACCAGATGTTGGGATATGAATCTAATGCCTTATTATATATAAGACACAATTTTTCTGTTAGTGCTATGAACTTGACCAAAGGTGAATCCAGGATTGCACACATTATCCCACAAGACACAAGAGCAATCAAGATGTCCATGGCCCAGATAGGGCGGTAATGGCCATTAAGGACGAATGCCTCAAACTCTATAGCCATATGTTATCTCTATGGGTAAACTAGATATAATTAATTTACAATCAATAAATTAAAGATCGTCATGGTTAGTGTTGTAATGAACTTAGCAAAATCAAAGGAAATTTCAAGAAGTTGGCTTGAAACCATTAGCGAAGTTGTGTATCTCAAATTATTAAGTATGGCATGTTGTAGATAATCTCCAAAGGAAATTTTGGAGTAGATCTAGCCGTATTAGCGGAGTATAAGATACTCACACTCCAAATGCCTTATGTCATAACTTAATTAAAACGCATGGGAGAGCACATTGGCAATCATAATGTCAAAATGACAAAATGTAGGCGTAAACAGTAGGTGTAGATAAATTTACACTCTACCTCATGATCCCAAAACATCAATTTAAGGAACTCACTTTGAATTTTGCATTGTAAATTTGCAAAAGATTTAAAATCTCAATTGCAAACGATGAATGTAATAAATCTCAACATGTGCACACACGG